TCTGTATAATTTTGGCACCATGTTCAGTTAAATCTGAATGAATTATGTTATGAATATCCCCTTTCTTTTAGCAAATGGTAATCCCACACAGTATTCTTATTATACTCTTATCATTTGTTCTTATAACAGTTAAAAGTATTAGGTGCAGTCATATAAGCTGGAATTTTGTACTTTACTCCTAACTTGGTTCAGTAACTATATGTAGATATTAACTTCTGTAAAATAGTAACTTATAGTCATACCATAATTGCCTAGTGGAAATTGGAAATATTGACAGTTGTACACTTGATGTATGTCTAATTTTGTCTTAAAAGTTCTGCTAAGCTGGGCATGGTGGTGCATGCCTGTAATCCCAGTGGCTCAGGAGGTTGAAGCAGGAGGATCGTGATTTCAAAGCCAGCCTCAGCTACAGTGAGGTGCTATGCAACTCAGTGAGACCCTGTCTGTAAATAAAATACAAAACAGAGCTGGGTATGTGATTCATAGGTTGAGTGCCACTGAGTTCAATTCCCGATACCAAAAAAAAAAAAAAAAAGTTCTGCTAAGAGAGGAGTCTTTTTGTTTGACTTAAAAGATAATTGCCTCAGTCTTTCAGTTTACCTTTTTAAAATACATAATCTTAGTTTCCTTATTTTTTTAAAATGAGCACTGATAAAACAGTGGTAATTAGATAATTTTGTGAAATTTATTTTATTTACTTTTAATGATCTCAGATCATCATGTAAAAGGTATACTAAGTCAGGTATGGTGGTTCACTCCTAAAATCCCAGGAACTAGGAAGCCTGAAACAGGAGGATCACAAGTTTGAGACTGGTCTGGGCAACTTAGTGAGTTCCTGTCTCAAAATAAAAAAAATAAATAAAAAGGAGTGGGGATGTGACTTGTGGTAAAGCACCCCTGGGTTTAATTCCCCAGAGCCTGCCCCCACCAGAGGTATACTGTATGATTTTTGACACTTTCATTTCTCCTTACCCTAAGAGACAGAATCTGAAATAGCTACCTTCCTTGTCCCACAATGTCAAGAACTGAGAAACTTAATACATACCATAATGATTACAACTTTTGAGATTGAATTCAATTGCTATCATTGAAAACAGCAGGACATCTTACAATAGTTTAAATAGCAATTTTTAGTATAATCTTTTCTATCAAGAGAAATATAACCATTCTTAGGTAACAGTGGCTTGAAATATATTATAATATAGTGGCTCATTGCTCATAGTTGTCGAATTTATCAGTAAATTGCTTTTTGTATTGAGTAATATAGATTTGGAATTATAGTCATCTGGAAGAGTTCAAGTTCTGTTATAGAATTCTGTGACAGAAAATTATGATTTATCATTTTTGTAAACCAAAAGGGGAAGTATAAACAGAAATCAAGTTGAGTAATTTGAAAACCCTAAAGTTCTTTGTTGTTAAAAATGGTTTTCTTTGATAATTTAAGCAGGTCTTTTTTTTTTTTTTTTTGCATTACTAGGGATTGAACCCAGGGCCTTGTGCATGATAGGCATATATTCTATCACTGAGCTTCATTTTCAGCCTTTTTTTGTTTTAATTTTGATACAGGGTTTTACTAAATTGCCTAGACTGGCCTACAACTTTGGACCCTCCTGCCTTTGGAATAGCTGGGATTATAGATGTGTACCACCACGCCTAGCTAAGCACACTGATTTGAATGCCTCTTGTTTTCATTCTCTCAATATAAAAACAATTTATAAAGATTACTCTTGTTTCTCCTAACAAATCAAGCAGTACAGATATTTTTTAATGGAAAGCAACAGGTTCCCAACAGTCTTTGTTGGTTTTCTGCATAACTCTAAATAATATACTTATTTCTTATTTTGTAGGATTATTAAATAATATTTTTTGACTCTCTGATCGGAAATATTAAGATTTAGTTTTGCTTGTTCTTCTTTTTCCCTCCTCCCATTTAATGATAGTCAACTAAAAGAAAGAGATTGATTGATTATTGGTTGCCTTTATACCCTAAAAAATTAAAGAATATAAATTTCTGTTCCCTGTTCCTTCAAACTTCAGCAATATTTTTTGATTATCTACTTTGTAAAATAGGAATAGGAATTCTTTTGTTCTTATATCTGTTCACTGGTAACAGATAAAAGAACAAAAGTTTTTTGTTTTTTGTTTTTTTTTGGTGGGCAGGATACTAGAGATTGAACCCAGGGGTGCTATACCACTGAACTACATCCCCAATCCTTCTAATTTTTGAGACAGGGTCTTGTTCAGTTGCTAAGGCTGACTTTGAATTTGGTATTCTTCTGCCTCAGCCTCCTGAGTTGCTGGGATTATAGGTATGCACTACATTGTCCGGCTCCTTTACCCTCTTTTAGCTGGTTTTTAATTAGCTGCCTTTTATGGTTTCTTTTGGGTTGAAGGTTAGTAACTTTACATTGTATTGTGCAGTGATAGCTCTTCTTCTGTGTTTTGCCTATAAGTAAGACTAGTAAATTGTATAACTAAATATCCATTGCTAGACCAGACAACATGTTAGGATTAGATTTCCTACAATCCAATGCCGTGATTCTTGGATTACCCTAGGTCATAGCATTTAGGCAAAAATAGATTCTTTTTCCCTTTATCATTTATTGATTAAAGTTATGTTACATTTTAGTTTTCTTCATGTTTGATCTATGATTTTCTTATACAACTTTTTTTTTTCCTTTTAGAATTTGATTCTCTTCCCACTCCCTTCTTGAATCCTATTTATTTATTTATTTATTTTTGTGTGGTGCTGGGTATTGAACCCAGGGCCTTATGCATGTGAGGCAAGCACTTTACCAACTGAGCTATATCCCAAACCCTTTCCTTGCATCTTTATTATGTCTTTATACATTTCTTTTGCTCCCTTTTGCCCATTACATCCTGTTTGATTTACATCCACTGCCACTTCCCTTCTTTTTGTTTATTCCTTTCTGCATTTGCTGTATCTCCCACCCCAAGGAGGGTTCCTTAGCTCAGAAGAGGTAAATATGTGTGTGTGCTTACTTTGGCATATGTAACCTGGATGTATCCATTTAGTTTTGAAATGCCTGTTTTATACTTTTGTGAAATCCATAAATGGTGTTCTGTTGTCTTAGATCTTTGAGACTTCCGTATTTTAATTATGGGCTATATGTACTTGTATGCATGTAAGCACATCACAGAATCTATATTAAAAAAGAGATCATGGAGCTTAATCTTTTTATTTTATAACCACTGAGGCACATCTTTAGCCATTTTTATTATTTATTTTTTAAAAAAATACTTATTTAGTTGTAGATGAACACACTATCTTTATTTATTTTTTTATGTGGTGCTGAGGATTGCACTCAGTACCTCACACATACGAGGCAAGCACTTTACCCCTGGGCTACAGCCTCAGCCCCTAGCCATTTTTATTTTTTAGTTTTGATTCAGGGTCTTGCTAAGTTGCTTAGGGTCTCACTAAGTTGCTGAGGCTGACTTTGAACTTGTGATCCTCCTGCCTCTGAAGTTGTGATCCTCCTGCCTCAGCCTCCCAAATTGCTGCGATTGTAGGTGTGTGCCACCACACATGGTGTTGTTAGTAGTATTTTTGCCTGTGGACTCAATTAATAGTATACTAGAATTTAAATGAATGTTTTTGGCTTTTAGCTTATTTTTCTTGCTCTCATTAATAATGCCTTCCTAACTTTGAATCACATGGTTTAGAAAGGTGAATTGTATAAGTAATCATATAATTTTATCAGGCAGTTTCTTTAGGCAGTTGGTAACCATCCTGTTGGAGGAGTTCCATTTATTCTAGTAATTCTGTTTGTTATCTTAAAAAAAGGTAAAGAATGATTTGAGTGTAATTGTTTCTGTTCAGATCCACTTTTTAAAGGTACTTTAGTCAACTATTATTCATGTACTATCACAATAATTACCCAACAATAGGCAGTTGTTAAACATCTCATATTTAAAAACCGAGGCAAAAGAAAGAAATGCTTTTGAGATTTTTAAAAATTTGATTTAAAAAAGTCTAAGTTTGGAGCTGTGGCTGTGGCTCAGGGGTAGAACGCTTGCATAGCATGTGTGAGGCCCTGGGTTCGATTCTTAGCACCACATACAAACAAATAAATAAATAGAGATCCATCAATAACTAACAAAAATATTTTAAAAAAGTCTAAGTTTAATAAGACATGAATGATAGTTAAGAGATTGTTAAGTGTAGTCTTAGAAAATAGTATTGCACTGTTAGCCCTTGTATACATTAGATGCAGTTAAAAAATCAAAGTAGAAAATAACACTTGAAGGGGTTGGGGTTGTAGTTCAGTGGTACTATGAGTGGTTAGCATGTGTGTGGCCCTGGGTTCAGTTTCCAGCACTGCCATCCCCTACCAAAAAACAAGAAGGAAAAACACAGAACAGAAACAGGTTTAAATTTTTTTCTTTGTATGAAACTCATGCAATGACATTAAAATAATTATTCATGTAATATCAGGATAGTTCTAACAGAAGGAATGGTGTCAAACTTCAAATCCTCAACCTGCTGTAATTTAGAAGCTTCAGGAAGCTTATGTGTTTTGGTAGGAATTTTAAATGTTGGAGTGAGATTCTGATATTCCTTTCTTTGTCATTTGATTGGATCTGTCAGTATGTGTGAATTCAACCTAATCAATCAGCTTTCCATCCAATGTAGAGGTTTCTAATATAAATCAGAAGTTAGAATGACCCCATAAATAGTGTAACAAATTTTTCCAATATAAACTGGAAATTTTGGTTAGTGCTGTTAAGTGGTTTGATGAAGTGTTGCCTCCAAAAGCTGCAAGCAGTGATAGTGGTCAGTCTTATCACCCTTTGTAAATATATCCTCAAAACTTGCAGAAATTACAGCTTTGTTATTGTATCTGATGTTTTAGACAGTATTTCAAATTAAAAACATGCAAAAGGAAAATATTATTAAAACACAATATTTTAATTAAATAGATTAATATTAAGAGTGAAGACATTTTAACATAACTTTCTTTGTCTTTATTTTAAAGAATTCAGAAGGAACTTGCAGAAATTACTTTGGACCCTCCTCCCAATTGTAGGTAAGTACTTTCTGATTTTTATTTACTTGTATCTTTTGCAGAAGGTATATTTGAACTGTTGGTCTGATGTGTAATTGTTGTAATCTGACTAATGAGTAAAAACATCATTGTGGCTTGGACTTTAATGACTGTGGAAAACAATGGTTGTGACTGTTTCTGTACAGAAAGAGAATTATTCAACGAACATGTTTATATTGATACATGGAGTTGCCAAAACTAGTGTAATCCAATGAGGTAGTGAAATTACAGGATAACAAATAAAATTATCTTGATGGAAGAGGTGTTAGGGCCTTAAATGATTTCTTTAATGATAGAATAGTAGTACGGATAAAATATGTGCTGTTTGATAATTATTCAGTTGTCTTGATGGAAATTGATTTTTAAAAATGCAGGAAAATGGAAAGTTATACTCCATGTATGTCAAAATGCATTCTAATGCCATGTTTAACTAAAACATGACATTAACAAATAAAAAAATTTAAAAATGCAGGAACATTAAACAGTGTTTTTTCTGGTTTACGTTTTTTCTTATGTCACCTGTGTTGACAGAGTAGGAGTGCATGATTTGAGGAAATGATGTTAAATATAAAACACTCTCTCCCTTTATGACCACATATCTCCAATTTTCTGGTTATTGTTTACTTAGAGGAAATAAAAGTACTTTTCTGGAAATGATTAATGCTATACAGGTACATAGAAGAGAGGAGAAATATAAACTGCCTAATACTATCTTCCGGGTCTAGTATAATAGTTGAAGGATGGTGATTTGACTATATAAAGGCATTTATTTCTGTTTTGATATGAGGTCAGTGTTGGAACCAGATCAACGGAGTTTTTATAGTTTAAATTGTTAGTCTTATATGTTAAAGGTGAGAAGGTAGATAAAATGAAAATGTACCCAACATTGAGTATAAGTAGAATTTATTTGGTATGATATCTTATATATATATTTAGATGGACACAATACCTTTATTTTAACTTATTTTAATGTGGTGCTGAGAATTGAACCCAGTGTCTCACATATGCTAGGCAATCTCTCTACCACTAAACTACAACCCCAGCCTCATTTTGGTATAATTTCTGATTTTACTGGGTTTTTTTGGTTGTTGTTCATGTGAGAACAATGATACCAACTAAATGTATTAAAGTGAGAATTTTGCAGATGGTTATGTTGATCAATAGCTAGTTGACAACAAAATAATTGTCAACAAAAATTCTAATAAGGCTTATCATGTTTGTGGTAAATCTAATGTGGTTCTTAACATGAGAGTAATGTACAGTGTATAAACTTTTAGTAATAATGTTCAAAGACTGTTTCACTCAAAACAAATAGCTGGGTGCATTGGTATGCACCTATAATCTTAGCAATTAGGGAGGCTGAGGCAGGAGAATCACAGGTTCAAAATGAGCCTCAGCAACTTAGTGATAGCCAGACCCTGTCTCAAAATTAAGATAGATAGGACTGGAGATGTAGTTCAGTTGGAAAGTGACCTGAGGTGCAATCTTTAGTACAAATTTGTTCAGTAAGACTATTTAAAATTTTTGTCACACTATCATGGTTATTTCAGGCGGCAGATCATTGTTTTTAGCCTTTGATGACCATTTCACAAACTCCAGTTTGGATTGAGTTTGTTTTTTTTAATCCCAGTTTCTTAAAATATTATATTTTTTAATGATGGGGATCTTGTTTTTTAAAAAATGAACTATATTATATCAAATGTTTTCTTTTTGTTGTAAACAACTTAATTGTTATATTGTGTGAGCTTATTTGTATATTACTTTGTTTACATTCTGATAATAGATTATTGGCCAAACAAAAAGGGACTTTGTTTAATGAGTTGTTTAAAGCTCAGTTTTGATAAATATAATTCACATATTGTGTGATGTAGACTGTTTTGTAACTGTTCTTAGGTATTTTATTTTCTAATTTTGGGAAGTATTTAGTTTGTTTTAGTTTGACTTGTTACAGATAATAATTTAACTTTGATTAGGTGTATACTGTAAGCATGCATAAAAGCTTAATATACCAAGGAAAGGAGTTACATATTGGTTATTTAAATAAATAAATGATTGAGCCACTGTTCTATTTCATGTAAGAGAGAAAAGTTTAATCATAGTGTCATCTGAAATTTCGAGGTTTACATTTTCGTTGAGCTTTGGTTGAGGATTCTGTTTGGTTCATATGTGAGTTTTTTAATAAATAAAGCAAAATACATAAAATAGTTTTTGATTTTTAAATATAGACGTCATATATAACAAATGCCTCAGACAGTTTAGGAAAGATGCCTACTTTGGGTTAATTTTCTGGTTTATGGAAATTTGTAAGGAAATCCACATGTGAGCTGAGAATTGGATAGCTAAATAACTTTGCTTTAGAAGCTGGGTCTGTCTGCAGTGCAGTGGTTTTGGCTTCTTTTATTGATTTTCTAAAAAGATTCTTGGACTGGGTCAGGTGGAGAAAAAGATCCTGTACCTTTTTGTGTGTTCTGTTTGGTAAGCATAGGGTCCTTCTGATGTGGCTGATAGGTAGGTGGTGGTTGGTTGTACATTTCTTGTGTGCTTGGCTTCCTAATATAGATGGTGCTTGTTAAGTGGATTATTATGGTTTTACGATTGTTTGGTGTCAAATATTTGTTTGTGGCTCAGTAAATCTGCCCATCTATATTTCAGTGAAAATGTGATTACTATTTTCAGAAAAATAAGTTAGAACATAATTTTTGTTTGGTTTATTTTTGGCCAAGGTTAACAGTGCAGTGGTGGTTGATATTTAAAGTTCTGTGTTGTCTTTAAGGTGTTTACTAATGACTGTAATGAATTAATTTACAAAAACATAGCAAATTAAAGCTGTCTGCCTAACGGAGTCAGAGTCACTTAATTAGTGTGTCATCTGATTTCAGAAGAAATCATTTCCTTGATACTACTTTGTGTAACCACTCTCCCAGTATACTGTCTAAACCCTGCCTTTTGGCTCTGTAGGTTTAGTCTGCTATCACAGTTAAAGAATAATTGTGAGAGAATGTCTGTGGGGTTACTTGTTTAGGCAGAGAGCAGAGAAGGATTTTACCTGTTTATTGACTGGTGTGTGTAAGGGTGTATGTCAAATTCCATTCAGAGTGTTATTTATCCAGTTTTCTGGAACCTTAATAGAGTACAGCATAATTCTCTATGTCAGGTTAGAGATGAGACTTCTGAATTTAGGTGCATTTCTTAGGCGATATCTAGTTAAGGAATTCTTGGAATCATATTAAGGGAACTAGGAATCATATTAAGAGAATTAGCATGTATTTAAGAATTGTGCAAGTATATTATATGAATATGTTGTTTATGTAAAGCTTTTTCAGAGGAAGTTACTAAAGTATTGGTTGAATTTATTTTTAGGTGTTTGAATAAACCTAGGTTTTTTTTTTTTACATTTTATTTTTGGTGCTGGGAATTGAATCTAGGGCCTTTGCATGCTAAGCAATACTCTACCACTGAGCTACCTACAGTCCTCCCAAATATTATTTTAAAATACATCCACAAGTGATTTAATAGGTTGAATTATTTCTTCTTAGAGGAATTATATGCTTCTGCATCTTGCAGTTTTCCTATTTTTTTGTTGTTCTTAAATGAAGTAAAAATGTAATAGGGTTTTGTTTTTAAAATGGAATTTAATTTATCTTTATCAATAATTCATTTTTATGCTAATTATAATTTAAGGAATACATGTTTAAAAGCAATCAATCTTTACTATATATGTGTATATTTTTTTGGGGGGAGTGGTACTGATAATTGTACCTAGGGGCTTGGACATGCTAGGCAAGTGCTCAACCACTGAGCTACTTTCTCAGCCCTTTTAGAAAATTTTATTCTGAGACAGGATCTCAATACATTGTCTGACTGACTTTAGACTTGGCAGTTCTTCTCTCTGAGCCTCCCAAGTAGCTGGGATTACAGATGTGCACTACTGTTGCCAGCTAAAATTTTATGACATACCTAAGAAAAAATGTTTCTGCTCATAAAATAATAGAGTCGCTAGCATCATAGAATAATGCACATTATTTGATTGAGATTTGGTATATGCTTAGAGTATTTCCTATAAAGAGTAGAATATATTTTGCTTGGCCTCAGCTGTTATGTTGGATGTCATAAATGATCCATGACATTTGAGGGTCTCTATCCTGAGGTCTCTGAAGATCCATAAATATTTTCATGACAATTGAGTTAGAGGTGCTGAGCTTGATTATAATTGCTCACTACCTCACTGCTTTGCATACCAGCTTAGTTGGATGAAATAGATCATATTCATGTTATATTCTTTCAGAGATCTAATGGCTGGAATCACACTGTCCTTTATAAATGACTGCAAGTTGTGACTTTGACAATTATCCATAGTTTGTCACAAGCTAAGACCTTAAATCTGGGAATGCCAGTGTTTATATTATCTTGGTGCTGGTGGAGAACTGATAGCTAGTGGACCAGAAAATTTCCAAATTAAAATTAAATATTTATCACCTTTTAAAGAGTAACTTGTTCCTCTGTATTGCAAAGAAGCTAAATTCATATGTGTTATGATCTGTTGTTACTGCTAAAGCTTGTACTAGGTTTATGAACATGGGAATGACAAAGAATCTTTGTTACTTTTTGAAAGGTAAAATGAATCATTTGGATTTTGAGTTTTAATTTGGTAATTGTATAAGTAAAAGGAGGAAGTAAACCAAAAAAGAGGAGGTAGAGGTAATTCAAGTATACTAGCATATTTATTCATTTTCTTTTGCACATTTTTATTTCTCTTGTTTCAAGAATTTGCTCATTGTATACTGTCTCTGCTTAACTTTTTTCAAAAACAGCTTTATTGAGATATAAAATATAAAATTTTCTTATTCTTTTAGGTTTTTAAAATATTCACTGAGTTGTAAAATCACCATAATAGATTTTATGACATTTTGTGTACCCACAAAAGATAACAACATGCCGTTTAGCAGTTACCTTTTCCCCAACTCTTCCATCCCATGACCAAG